GAAGTTATTTTCAAGTTAGTTAAGTATCCTTTGAAGAAAGGAAATGTTTACATAAAATTAAGTAAAGAGTCCTATTCCAAATTTGAGGACTGTTAAGCTATTAATTCTGTTTAAACATTTCATCATTTTCGTAACAGAGGTGCTTCTGAAATACATTCTTTTGCCTCTAGGTTTGTTTTTAGCTTGTTTTCCATTTTTCCGTCACCTGGTTGGATTAGGGATCCAACCTGATTTATGCCCCCCGCCCTTTTTTTTTTTTTGAGACAGAGTCTCTGTGTTGTTACCCAGACTGGAGTGCAATGGCACGATCTTGGCTCACCACAACCTGTGCCTCCTGGGTTCAAGCAATTCTCCTGCCTCACCCTCCCGAGTAGCTGGGACTACAGGCGCGCACCACCATCCCCAGCTAATTTTTTTTGTATGTTTAGTAGAGACGGGGTTTCACCTTGTTGACCAGGATGGTCTCGATCTCTTGACCTCGTGATCCACCCGCCTCGTCCTCCCAAAGTGCTGGGATTATAGGCGTGAGCCACCGCGCCCGGCCCCTAATTTATGCTTTTTAAACAATAGCACTCAAAGTGAACTTCTGGTCCCTGAAGTTTACTGATCAGTATTGCCTCAGAACTTAGAGATGTAAATCCTCAGGTCCTTCCCATGTCTACTGAGTCAGAAACTTTGAGGGTGACCCCAACAGTCTGTTTTTACAAGCCTTTCAGTTGAGTCAGATTGGAGGCACACGTAGGTGTCAGAACCACTGCTGTAAACCAAGATTCTCAGGTTGATTATACGATAAACAGCCTTTGTGGGAGTTGTAATCCACAGCGTTGGTCTCATTAGCACCAAATTCTTTCAGCTTAGGTAGTCAGACAATACGAACAGTTAAGTTGAAATCATGTTATAACCTCCTGTTGAAGAAAGCATACATCATATAGTTTTACCTAGAAACTGCTGTTCAGTTTAAAAATCATGTAAACAAGAGGAAAGTATTTTTCAAAAGCTACTTGTGATCTTTGGCCAAATACTGAAGTAATTTAAGAGGCACATACCCATGAAGTATATTTTCCTTTTATTTGTGCTTTTCTGTTTTTTGGCCTTGCTTTTCACGAGCTATGTTTCCTCTTATTTGTGACTAGACTTTGTGTTTTACTACTTCAGAGCCAACGTTGTGAAGGTTTTTAGTGTGAAGGCCAACACGGCAGAGATGTTGACTGCAGAGAGACGTGTGCGTGACCCAAACACGGGCTTCTGTGAAGAGGAGTCTTTTATTTCCTGCACAGGCTATTCAAATGGAGAAAGTATATCTACTTTGCAGAGTTTATGAGGATTTAACTCACACGTTTATATATATTAGAACACGTGTGGTACATAAGCATTCAGTAAGTGTTTTATATTATTAGTGTAATTGCTGTATGTAAAATTTGACTTTTTCTTTAACATAGAATATGGTGAGCATTGAAGCTTTTGCAGTAATCTATCTGGATCTCACAATCCAACAGCATGAACTTGTGCCCTTTCAAAGGCAAATCACCCACAGATACTGTCTTTCCAGAGTGTATTCATGAAGTAACTATAGAATTAAGTGTTAGGTGGCAGAGGGGAAATTCTATGATAGGGCCTCCTAAAGTCTTCCTGTTTAAAGCCTCTAGGTTAGGATGAGGGAATGGCTAGGAACGGTTAGTAAGTGAATGGCAAAAGAAGAGTCAGAGGGTTTGAGGAAAGGCTTTTTTGTTTTGTTTGAGATGGAGTCTCTCTTGCTCTGTAGCCCAAGCTGGACTGCAGTGGCATGATCTCAGCTCACTGCAACCTCTGCCTCCTGGGTCCTGGTTCAAGCAATTCTCCTACCTCAGCCTCCCGAGTAGCTGGGATTACAGGCTCGAGCCACCAATGCCCAGCTAATTTTTGCATTTTTTAGTAGATAAGGGGTTTCACCATGTTGGCTAGTCTGGTCTTGAACTCCTGACCTTGTGATCCGCCCACCTTGGCCTCCCAAAGTGCTGGGATTACAGGCGTGAGCCACTGGGCCTGGCTGAGGGAAGGCTCTTTTAGGGAGGGGAGATTGAATATATTTATAGACTGAAGGAGAAAAAATTAACCATATGAGAAGAGATAAGTATCAGATGGTAAGAGATGGAATGAGACTGCAGAGTAGAGAGGAGTGGCTAGGGTAATGGCAGGAGACTGGCAGGCTGGAGTGGAAGAGGGATATGAGACATGCAGAGAAGAGTGAGTTGTGTGGGTCTGGGGGAGCAGCCCTGGGAGCCAAGACAGTTGTGTTCAAATATTTGAAAGTCCATGATGTGGAGGAGGTAGCAAACTAGTTCTCTTTGGTACCAGGTGACAAAACTCATGCCATCTGTAGGAAGACCAGACCTGGGACCAATATAGGGGAGAATTGTCTGAGGACCCAAGCAGGTGCAAAGATGACATGAACTAATCTGAAGAAATGATCCTGGCTAGGCTACCTAGTTATGTTTCTTGCCAGCTCTGTAGCACTGGGTGAATTGTTTAAATGCTGGAGCAACAGTCTCCTTCCTAACCCATTGCACCAGGCTCAGGGCCTTCCTGGCCAAGTCCTGGTGTGACAAGTTAGTTATCTGCCTGGTTTTCCTCACCTTGGCTCTCTAGGGCAAGGACCAAGTCCTTGTTATATCCCCCTATGCACACAGAGTCTGAAACACAGGACTCTCTGACATGTGTTTTAGGTTTTCCATAAAACACAAAATTCTGGATGTGCATACACAGAATTAAATCTGTAAAAGTTGGGAACAGCAATACCCATTTTGAAGGATTGTTGTTAGGGTTAAATGAGGTAACATATGAAACAACCTTGCATAATTCTTGGAACATAATAGACAACTAATGAAATTAGTTTCTTTCCTTTCTGAAAAAATCAGCATGTCATAAAATGATATTTAAGATATTGAGTAACTGTTTTAATAAACAATAATACAAGTTTCCAGATACCTAAAAGGGCTCATGGCAGAAAGAATATGGAAGTGAGGCTAGATTGGAGCTTCCAGATGTTGCCCAGTCTATTTTTAATTTTTCTTTTTTTTTGTGTCTTTAGGTAAAAATGATTTCAGGAAGAGATGATTCTCCCCATTGTGACTTGTTTTGTTTTGTTTTTGAGACAGAGTCTCGCTCTGTTGCCCAGGCTGGAGTGCTGCGGCACGATCTTGGCTCACTGCAACCTCTGCCTCCCAGGTGTAAGCAATTTTCCTGCCTCAGCCTTCCAGATTGCTGGGATTACAGGTGTTAGCCACCACGCCTGGCCCATTGTGACCTGTTGTAATATCGAATCCTTATTTTCTGGAAATTCTGTCTAATATGACTTCTGTAATAATTTAAGCTAATTTCCTCACAGACATGGAACTAATCTCGTTACTATTTTCTGAAGCAGTTTGTACAATTTTTCTTAAAGCCATTTTTTTTCTAGTTGCTTCCATCCACTCTTTCCTATTATTCTCCTTTATTTGTTTCTTTGTGTTGGTAGTTTCCCTATCTAGTAATAGATAGAAGTTGTTGGCCTGGCATGGTAGCTCAGGCCAGCACTTTGGGAGGCCAAGGCAGGAGGATTGCCTGAGGTCAGGAGTTCCAGACCAGTTTGGCCAACATGGTGAAATCCAGTCTCTACTAAAAATACAAAAAAATGTAGCTGGGTGTGGTGGCGTGTGCCTGTAATCCAAAAGTGATCGCAGAATCACTTGCTTGAACTAGGAAGGTGGAGGTTGTAGTGAGCTGAGATCGTGCCACTGCACTCCAGGCTGGGTGACAGAGCAAGACTCTGTCTCAAAAAAAAAAAAACTGTTTTGAGGAAACTAATTGACATCATTATAAATGAAGATTCTTTTAGGACTATAGAAAGATTTCTAGTACTTTGTCTTCGCTTTAAAATTCAAATTGTGAAACACATCTCTACTTCCTCCCTGTTCTCTTAGAGCAATTCAGTAATGTTTCTGTGAGCAGATTCTATAGTGATCATAGGCAGTTGACAATATGAGCAGGGCTTTATGTTAGCTAAACAATGAGAGCAACAGATGCTACAAAGTAAAAATTAAGACTTTTAATGTTTGTGCTAAACTGTATTTGGGAGCTTCTGAATTGTGGCAAGAGTTTCAGTAATCTGAAATGTTTTTTTCAAGTGCTTATTCATTTAGTGCAATTAGCACGAAGTCAGATTTTCTGGAATTGTGCTTGTACACGTGTACACAGTATTCATCATGTAATTATGAAGTGAACAAATATATCACTGTGTGTCATCTCATGTCATAGGACAAGTATCTATGCATTGACAATAAATATTAAATGACTGTAAAAGACTGATATAATGCCAACAAGGAGAGGAAATATGGTGCAGAGTTAAATTTTGTATATAAACTTGGCAAAGTGCTGCAGTAAATTACCATTTTCTTCATATTAGGCATGGTGCAAAGGAAGACTTTTTAAGTAAAGAGAAATCTCTGGAATTTAGCATAAAGACTCTAGTTAATTCCAGGATTTGTTGTTGTTGTTCTAAGTTGTTGCTCCTTTGCAGGGAACCAACAAAAAAAACAAACTATTTGTTACTTTCTTAACATCAAAGAAAGCTTGAATGTGTAAGAGATTCCTTGTGTACAACAAAAGGAAGAAATTTAAAAGTTAATTAACATTTCAGTTCCCCGTATTTGTTTTAATGTATGTTGTTTGTAATTTTGGAATACATCTGTTCTTTTTGCTTTATGTTACTTTTTAGTTCATCATAGTAATATTTTCTTTTTATCAGGATAGTACCGTAATTGGGTGCTTAATTCGTTTGGAATCTGAGAATGTTATTCTATTTATATTTTATAATTTGCATAAAAATTCAGTTCTAAAATTTTAATATTTACAAATATGTATGTAATGGTTTTACTTATTGATAGAGTGTAGAGAAAAGATACGTATTTATCCATATATAGAAAATAAAGTATTAAATTGATATTTGAAGTAACACTGCAAAGAAATTTTTATATTAAACATTTTAGGAGTGGAATTTTCTGAATTTTTCAGAGTTCACAATTACATGTATACTTATAGATGTAATTCTAGTCTTAAAATAGTGACAGATAAATGCTTATCTGCTAATCAGTGGAACAAACTGGATTATTTCCAAACGTAATCAAGTTACTATTAACTTGTAATCATAGCACATGCTCTGAAGCTTTTATAAGTTCTTATTCTAAAAGCAATAAATGTATTCCTGTCATACTCATGCTTAAGCAGATTGAATCGGTGCCTGGGTAGTACTAGTCTAATATGTCTCTTGTCACTTAAACTTAACGTTCTCATGTTTCCTCCTTCTTCATTTCTTTAGGATGCATGTGCCTTTTAGACAGCATTGATAAAGGAGTTAGTGAAAGAGAATCACCAAACAGTGATACAGAGTGTGTCCCGGCACAGAAGCTCTTATCTAGTTGCTTTATTGAGGTAGTCAAAGAGACCGTGTATGTAGACAAGGAGGTGTCCAAGGGTATAGGGATTTTTGATATGGTATCTCATTCTTTGTCAAAAGGAAAATCAGTTTTCCTGGACAGTTTTTGATATAAGGCAGAATTTGAGCACAATTCTAAGAATAAAAATGTTTGCATTTGAACTCAGATTGAGTTCAAATAAACTCCATGTTTACAAAGAAAACATGGCAAGTTGACATATTTGAGCACATTGCCTAGCATGTTTGAGATTCATTTTACTCACCTGTCAGATATGGAAGCCTCTTGGGCATTATACTGTTTAGTTTTCTTCTAAACTTAATCATCGTCTTACCACCTTAAAAAAAGAGGAAACAGGGGCTTTTAAGGCTAATAACTTGCTCTAGGTTGTATAGTGAGTAAGTGGAAGAATAAATATTGGAGCCCCGTTCTCTTTGATGCCAAATTTCAAGCTCTTCTAAGCCCATCGTTCCCACACTTTAGTGTGCAGCAGAATTACCTGGAAAGCATACATTGCTGGGACCTAGAGTTTCTCATTCCACAACAGGGCTCAAGAATTTGTATTTCTTTTTTTTTAAACATTTCAGTTTTTCTAGAGACAGGGTCTCACTCTGTTGCCCAGGCTGGAATGCAGTGATGCAATCATGGTTCACTGCAGTGTTGAACTCCTGGACTCAAGTGATGCTCCCACCTTGGCTTCCCAGAGTGCTGATATTACAGGCATGAGCCACCATGCCTGGCTAATTTTTTATTTTTTGTAGAGAGAAGGTCTCACTGTGTTGCCCAGGCTAGTCTTGAACTCCTGGTCTTAACCCATCCTTCTGCCTCAGCCTCCCAAAGTGTTGTAATTACAGCGTGAGCCACTGTGCCCAACCAGAATTTGTATTTATAATCAGATCCAGATGTCGAATCTGATGCTGCTGGTTCTGGAAACTATATTGTGAGAACCACAGTTCTGTACTGTGCTACCTGATTTGATTGCTCTGAGGGATAAATGAGAGAATTCACATATGCCTGTGTTAATAATCACTGACATTTATTGACTACTTAGAACATCTTGGCTGCTCTTCCAAGTTAAATTTGTCTTATCCTGAGTTTAATTTTAGGAGCTAGTTAAATTGTAGGGAGAGTATATAAAGGTATAATGACCATTCAAAAGAGAAGGAAACCGAGGTAGGAAGAGGTGCCCAGTATGTGGTCTCACAGTGAGTCAGTGGTAGAGCGGGTTACCCTCATTATTGCTTCTGTCTGCTCATCTAGTTTGGAAGGCCAGTGTCTTCTTTGGAGCCATCCCCAGAAAGAGAGATTTCATGCTATGGGAAGGTTGAGAGAAAAGTAGACCCTTCCTTTCATCTATTGGTGTTTTGTGTCCTTGGAGGACTACTGCAGAGTAGGCCTGGAAAAAAAGAATTTTCCTCCTTTTTATATCATTCTTCAGCATTCTGAAGGGTGGGTGATGTACTTTGTTATTCCAATGAATGATGTGATTCTGAAAATGACCTGTAGTTCAATTGAACTATGGGATCTTTGATAGTCATTAGCGAGAGGACTCAAGATGGCGCTGTGAGAACAACCCAGGATTGGAGCTCTCATTGTGACCGCGGAGAGGTGAGTCTGAGCTGCATTTCCAGACTGATCTTTGTTGCCCACGGAACGGGGAAATTCCCAAGTGAAGAGGATACGCGGGACACCAGGCAGAACCTCCGCCTGGTGAAGCCGGCAGCTGGGGCGGTGGCGGCCGGCCCTACCCAGCGCTCCCCACAGGGCGCGCTTGTCCGGGTGCCCCGTTGAACCGGCAACCGGAGACGTGAGAGGGCTGGACTTGAGACTGAGCTAGACTTGGACAGTGGGCCAGCCCAGGGGATTGCAGGGACAGAGCGTTAGGGGTGGCCCAGTGGGACGAACAAAACCGTGATTTCAAACAAGCCCCGTGCAGACGGCCCGAGACGCTCTGAGGGGGAGGGGCGGCCACCATTACCGAGGCAACCCGCCCCAACTGAGATACACGCCCATTGCTGACGCAGCCAGCTGTTGCCGACGCAACCCGTCCCTACTGAGATACACGCCCACTGCTGATGCAGGCTGCCGTTGCCGAGGCAACCCGCTACAACAGAGAGACTCCGCCGCAGGGCGTGGCGGAGAACACCGCAGAACAGCAGAGCCAGGGTGAGCCTCACAACAGCAGGGCGGAGCCTCGGCAGGCAGACAGTGGCTAGACTGCGTCCTAGCTGGGCAGGACCTTAACGGACATCCAAAAATAAAGCCCAAACCCCTCAACACAGAGCATTTGAGAAAAAAAGGGTTTTTTTAAATGAGCTCTGTTGCAGCAGAATCAAACATAGCAGCCTAACAGCCCTGAATGAACAACAGAGCTCACAGCTCAGCAATTAAGCTCCTATAAAGTACAAACTGTCTCCTCAAGCAGCTCCCTGACCCCTCTATATCCAAAAGACTGACATTAGGCAGGCATCATCCTGGGACAAAGATAGCAGAAAAAGAAACTGGTAGCATCCCTCGCTGTGCCACAGCTGCTAGAGGTGCACCCCAGACAACCAGGATCTGGAGCGGACTTCAGCAGTTGTACAGCGAAGGGGCTAGACTGGTAGAAGGAAAACCAAGCAACAGAAATACTTCATCATCAACATTCTGGGTGTCCACTCAGAGACCCAATCGAAAAGTCAGCAACTACGCAGACGACCAGCGGACAAATCCACAAAGATGGGAAGAAACCAGCGCAAAAAGGAGGAAAACACCCGAAACCAGAACACCTCGCCTCCTAGAAAGGACCAAAACTCCTCATCAGCAAGGGAAGAAAGCTGGACGGAGAATGACTGTGATGAAATGACGGAATTAGACTTCAGAAGGTGGATAATGAGAAACTTTTGTGAGCTAAAAGATCATGTATTAAATCAATGCAAAGAAACTAAGAACCTTGAAAAAGGATTTGAAAAAAGATTCGAGGAAATGATAACAAGAATGGATAACTTAGAGAGGAATATGAATGAATTAAAGGAGCTGAAAAACAATACGAGAACTTCGCGAAGCATGCACAAGTGTCAATAGCCGAATCGACCAAGCAGAAGAAAGAATATCTGAAGTCGAAGACCAACTCAATGAAATAAAACGAGAAACCAAGATCAGAGAAAAAAGCGCAAAAAGGAATGAACAAAGTCTCCAAGAAATGTGGGACTATGTGAAAAGACCTAACCTACGTTTGATAGGTGTACCAGAAGGGGACGAAGAGAATGAATCGAAGCTGGAAAATACTCTTCAGGACATCATCCAGGAAAACTTCCCCCACCTAGCAAGACAGGCCAACACTCAATTGCAGGAAATACAGAGAACACCACAAAGATATTCCGCAAGAAGAGCAACCCCAAGCACATAATCGTCAGATTAAACAGGGTTGAAATAAAGGAGAGAATACTAAGGGCAGCCAGAGAGAAAGGTCGGGTCACCCACAAAGGGAAGCCCATCAGACTCACAGCAGATCTCTCGGCAGAAACACTACAAGTCAGAAGAGAGTGGGGGCCAATATTCAACATTCTTAAAGAAAAGAACTTTCAACCCAGAATTTCATATCCAGCCAAACTGAGCTTCAGAAGTGAAGGAAGAATAAAATCCTTTGCGAACAAGCAAGTACTCAGAGATTTTGTCACCACCAGGCCTGCTTTACAAGAGCTCCTAAAAGAGGCACTACACACAGAAAGGATCAACCAGTACCAGCCATTCCAAAATCACACTGAATGCTAAAGAGCATCAACATAATGAAGAATCTACAACAACTAACAGGCAAAACAGCCACTTAGCATCAAAATGGCAGTATCAAATTCACACATAACAATATTAACCCTAAATGTAAATGGACTAAATGCACCAATCAAAAGACACAGACTGGCAAATTGGATAAAAATCCAAAACCCATCAGTGTGCTGTATACAGGAAACCCATCTCACATGCAAGGATACACAAAGGCTCAAAATAAAGGGATGGAGGAAGATTTACCAAGCAAACGGAAAGCAGAAAAAAGCAGGAGTTGCAATTCTCATCTCTGATAAAATAGACTTTAAAGCAACAAAGATCAAAAGAGACAAAGAAGGCCATTACATAATGGTAAAAGGATCGATACAACAAGAAGAGCTAACGATCCTAAACATATATGGACCCAATGCAGGAGCACCCAGATACATAAGGCAAGTTCTTAATGACTTACAAAAGGACTTAGACTCCCACACAATAATAGTGGGAGACTTTAACACTCCGCTGTCAATACTAGACAGATCAACCAGACAGAAAATCAACAAGGATATCCAGGGCTTGAACTCAGACCTGGAGCAAGCAAACCTGATAGACATTTACAGAACTCTCCACCCCAAATCCACAGAATACACATTCTTCTCAGCACCACATCACACCTACTCTAAAATTGACCACATAATTGGAAGTAAAGCACTGCTCAACAAATGCAAAACAACTGAAATCATAACAAACAGCCTCTCAGTCCATAGTGCAATCAAGTTAGAACTCAGAATTCAGAAACCGACCCAGAACCGCACAGCTTCATGGAAACTGAACAACTGGTTCTTCAATGTTGACTGGGTAAACAATGAAATGAAAGCAGAAATAAAGAAGTTCTTCGAAACCAATGAGAACGAAGACACAACGTGCCAGAACCTCTGGGACACATTTAAAGCAGTCTCTAGAGGAAAGTATATAGCAATAAGTGCCCATATGAGGAGAATGGAGAGATCCAAAATTGACACCCTCTCATCAAAATTGAAAGAGCTAGAGGAGCAAGATCAAAAAAACTCAAAACCCAGCAGAAGACAAGAAATAACTAAGATCAGAGCTGAGCTGAAGGAGATTGAGACACGAAAAACCCTTCAAAAAATCAATAAATCCAAGAGCTGGTTTTTTGAAAAGATCAACAAAATAGACAGACCACTAGCCAGATTGATTAAAAAGAAAAGAGAGAACAACCAAATAGATGCAATAAAATATGATAAAGGGGAAATCACCACAGATTCCACAGAAATTCAAACCATCATCAGAGAATATTACAAACAACTCTATGCACATAAACTAGTAAACCTGGAAGAAATGGATAAATTCCTGGACTCCTGTGTCCTCCCAAGCCTAAACCAGGAGGAAGCTGAAACTATGAATAGACCAATAATAAGATCTGAAGTTGAGGCAGCAATTAAGAGCCTACCACACAAAAAAAGCCCAGGTCCAGACGGGTTCACAGCCGAATTCTACCAGGCACACAAGGAGGAGCTGGTACCATTCCTTCTAAAACTATTTCAAACAATCCAAAAAGAGGGAATCCTTCCCAAATCATTTTACGAGACCAACATCATTCTGATACCAAAACCCGCAGAGACCCAACGAGAAAAGAAAACTTCAGGCCAATATCCATGATGAATATAGATGCAAAAATCTTCAATAAAATATTGGCAAGCCGATTGCAACAGCAAATCAAAAAACTTATTCATCATGATCAAGTAGGATTCATCCCGGGGATGCAAGGCTGGTTCAACATACGCAAGTCTATCAACTTAATTCACCCCATAAACAGAACCAAAAACAAAAACCACATGATTATCTCAATTGACGCAGAGAAGGCATTTGACAAAATTCAACAGCCCTTTATGCTAAAAACCCTCAATAAACTCGGTATCGATGGAACGTATCTCAAAGTGATAAAAGGTATTTATGACAAACCAACAGCCAATATCATACTGAATGGGCAAAAACTGGAAGCATTCCCTTTGAAATCTGGCACTAGACAAGGATGCCCTCTTTCACCACTCCTATTCAATATAGTACTGTAAGTTCTAGCCAGAGCAATCAGGCAAGAAAAAGAAATAAAGGGTATTCAAATAGGAAAGGTGGAAGGCAAATTGTCTCTATTTTCAGACGACATGATAGTATACCTAGAAGACCCCATTGCCTCAGCCCAAAAACTCCTGAAACTGATAAGCAACTTCAGGAAAGTCTCAGGATATAAAATCAATGTGCAAAAATCACACGCATTCGTCTACACCAATAACAGACTTAAAGAAAGCCAAATCAAGAACGAACTGCCATTCGCAATTGCTACAAAAAGAATAAAATACCTTGGAATACAACTCACAAGGAACGTAAGGGACCTCTTCAAGGAGAACTACAAACCACTGCTCAGCGAAATCAGAGAGGACACAAACAGATGGAGAAACATTCCATGTTCATGGTTAGGAAGAATTAATATCGTGAAAATGGCTATACTGCCCAAGGTAATTTACAGAATCAACGCTATCCCCATCAAGCTACCATTAACTTTCTTCATAGAACTGGAAAAAACCACCATGAACTTCATATGGAACCAAAAGAGAGCCCGCATAGCCAAGTCAATTCTAAGCAAAAAGAACACAGTGGGGGGCATCACACTACCGGATTTCAAACTATACTACAAGGCTACAGTAATCAAAACAGCATGGTACTGGTACCAAAACAGAGATATAGACCAATGGAACAAAACAGAGGCACCAGAGGCAACACAACATACATACAACTATACAATCTTTGATAAACCCGACAAAAACAAGCAATGGGGAAAGGATTCCATGTTTAACAAATGGTATTGGGAAAACTGGCTAGCCATGTGCAGAAAGCAGAAACTGGACCCCTTCCTGACACCTTACACTAAAATTAACTCCAGATGGATTACAGACTTAAACATAAGACCTGGCACCATAAAAACCCTAGAAGGAAATCTAGGCAAAACTATCCAGGACATAGGAGTAGTCAAGGACTTCATGAACAAAACACCAAAAGCATTGGCAACAAAAGCCAAAATAGACAAATGGGACCTAATGAAACTCCACAGCTTCTGCACGGCAAAAGAAACAGTCACTAGAGTGGATCGGCAACGAACAGAATGGGAAAAAATTTTCGCAGTCTACCCATCTGACAAAGGGCTGATATCCAGAATTTAAAAAGAACTCAAACAGATTTACAGGAAAAAAACAAGCCCATTCAAAAGTGGGCAAAGGATATGAACAGATACTTTACGAAAGAAGACATATATGAGGCCAACAATCATATGAAAAAATGCTCATCGTCACTGGTCATCAGAGAGATGCAAATCAAAACCACATTGAGATACCATCTCACGCCAGTTAGAATGGCGATCATTAAAAAATCTGGAGACCACAGATGCTAGAAAGGATGTGGAGAAAAAGGAACACTTTTACACTGTTGGTGGAAGTGTAAATTAGTTCAACCATTGTGGAAGACAGTGTGGCGATTCCTCAAGGCCTTAGAAATAGAAATTCCATTTGACCCAGCAATCCCATTACTGGGTATATATCCAAAAGACTATAAATCGTTCTACTATAAGGACACATGTACACGAATGTTCATTGCAGCACTGTTTACAATAGCAAAGACCTGGAATCAACCCAAATGCCCATTGATAATAGACTGGATTGGAAAAATGTGGCACATATACACCATGGAATATTATGCAGCAATCAGAAATGATGAGTTTGTGTCGTTTGTAGGGACATGGATGAATCTGGAGAACATCATCCTCAGCAAACTGACACAAGAACAGAAAATGAAACACCGCATATTCTCACTCATAGGTGGGTGATGAAAAATGAGAACACATGGACACAGAAAGGGGAGTACTAAACACTGGGGTGTATTGGGGGGAAAAGGGGAGGGCCAGTGGGAGGGGTGGTGGGGAGGGATAGCCTGGGGAGAAATGCCAAATGTGGGTGAAGGGGAGAAGAAAAGCAAAGCACACTGCCATGTGTGTACCTACGCAACTGTCTTGCATGCTCTGCTCATGTACCCCAAAACCTAAAATCCAATAAAAAATTAAAAAAAAAAAAAAAGAATTTAAAATTTAAAAAACAAACAGAACAGTTTTGTCACCCAGAGAAGTTCCTTGAGGCTCCTTGCAGGCAACTCCTTCTTCCACCCCAGCCCCTTACAAGCATTGCTGTGTTTTCTATCCATATAGTTTTGGCTTTGAAAAGATGCTATATAAATAAAATAATATAGTAGGAAAAAAAATAAAAAAAAAATAAAGATAGTCATTAGCATGGATAAAAGGGATTCCAGGGGATTTTCTATGTAAGAACCATGCTAGTGGTGCCAGTGCATTAAATTAGAAAATGTGTTGACTGATGGTGGCCGCACTCCAGCAAGGCATCTGTGGTGTTAACCTGCCCATGGCTGCTCCAGTAGACAAGGAGAATCTCAAAAACAAAATGCAAGGATGTGAGAAAAAAAAAATCTATTGTAATTAAGTCTGAAACCTGTGCTCTGCTTAGGAAACTATGTAGTTTCTTCGTTAGTTTTAAAGAGAAAAGTCCTACAGAGAAAGCGTCTTAAAGAAAAAATGGTCTTAAGCGAGGGTATAAAGCAATTTCAAAAGATGAGATCACATTGATATGTGAATGAATACTTTATGTATTTGGTTCAGTTAAAAATTTTGTTGGGTGACTGTTATGTATAAGATACTTATAAAAAAATTGTCTTTCCTCTCAAGGAGAACTTATAGTAGACTTCACAGTTGAGTGTTTTAGTTAATTTATATAGGAGTATTCAGTCTGAAACTGGTGTCACCTGATGCAGATCTTGTCTCAAAGCTACTGATAGGATTTTCATGATACCAGTATTTGAACCCTGGGAACCATTTTTCTTTTTAATGGGGTATCTGTTTCACTGCAGAGCTAGAGCTAGATCCCAGGCTTCCTGACTCACAACTTGCCGTTTTCCCTGATTTAGGATGTCTTTATTTATTTATCGTATAGATTTATCTCCAGTTATTAGGGAGTGAACTTTCAAAAGGGTATTATGGCTTATCCTACTTTTTTGGATATACACCTCTCTGTTTTATCCTTTTTGTTTTTCTTTAAGATTTTAAATGCAACCTAGACACTTAACTTGTGGTTAGGGTGCTGAATTTTGACATATGCAGTTTGACGGAAAGAATCACTGGTGTGTCTATTCTGGTTTGTTGTAGGTTAACGAAGCCCTTGTCATTTGCTGATTGTGTTGGGGATGAGCTGCCGTGGGGATGGGAAGCAGGGTTTGACCCTCAGATTGGTGTCTACTACATCGATCACATCAACAGTAAGTTTTCCTTTTTGGTAAAAGCAAACATACCAGAAAAGCAGTCCCCAAAAACCTAGTCACACAGAAGGATAAACATTTTACAAAGTGATTTCCTTATTTTAAACCCCATTTTCTTAGTGACCAGTATTTAACTGAATTGGCTGTTTTAGTATTTGGAACATGTACATAGGGTTGTCCTTAAGGGGATGGAGAGGGAGAAGGGGTGTCTGACCCGTGTGCCTGTGTGCCTGCCTGCTGAGGAAGGAGGATTGTCCTTTAGCACAGGTCTCGGAGCCTGTGGGGATCAGAGCTGTTGGGCTTGTCTTTCCATGGCCACTGCACCTTCTGACTGGGCTCCTCCTTTCCTTATGTTTGCCACAGAAAGACTTGGGCATTGACACAGTGTGGTTTCTGGACTGGGATTGGAGAGGGGTTGGCCCTCATCAGTGGCTGTGGAAGACAGCATAGCTGGGAAAAGTCCTAAACCCCTTCTTTCTGTTTCCTGATTTCTTTGTCTTTGGAAGGGGAAAACCTCTTAACAGCTTTTAGATCTTTCACATCTCTGACATGGTAAGTCTAGGGCAGAGGATTACTGTGGCTGTGAATGACTCTCAAAAAACACACTTGGAAGTATTTTTATACCGTTGTGTGTGTTTGTACGTGTTTATATGACTATCTAGCTCTCTACTTTAAAAATTTATTCAGATGATGGCATATAATATTTATTTTGCTTATTCACTTAAAAATAATTATTTTTATAGATTTTGGGGAATACATAATGAATTTATTCTTTATCTTATTTCTTTTAGATCTATTCTTATATTTAAACATTTTATATGCAATACTCTGTAATGTCTTTAGGAACAGTATTACTGTAGCAAAGGGTTTCATTTGATACTCACTCATTGGTGATGGCTTGCAGCTGCCCTTGTGTAGCTAGATGATGTGTTTCTCAAGAGGTCAAAAAAGCCTGGATTATTGGCTGTGAGGCACCATCTTCCAGGTGGGTGAGATAGAAGGGCAGAAAGGAGCGTAAGCACTCTAAAGTCCAGTGAGCACGTACGGTCACGGATCTGTTTCAATAGAATACCTGTCATGCACAGTTTGGGAACCACCTTCTGTGTGTACTGTACATTGTTAGTTCAACATAAATACAAATAATAGTTTCTACAGTTTGTTGCCTCAGCCTCTTTTATATGACCAGAAGAAACGTGACTTATTTGTAGAGATATTATTTCTCTCTCCTTGAAAGTTTCTAAAAGTTCTATGAAGAATCAATGATTATGTTTTTAAATTAGCTTTTAATTTTGTGTTTTCTAATAAATATATATTGATATACTGTATATACCAGGTTTTATTGTGTATCAGTAACTGACAACCAAATGTCATCTGTAATGGTGATGAAATGAACTAATTTTGGTAAAATTAAGTTCATTTCAAGCACTGTCTCACCCTTATGTAATTGCAAATAAACAAGTCAGTGAAATATCTGAAATGTATTAACTATTTAACTCTCACTTCTTTACTTGCTTTAGATAAATAATTATGTAGCTTTCTTTCCTTAAAGTAGTATTTGGGAAACCAGAAACCAACCTTGCCATCCTAGGTCAACAGAAATAAGCTCTACTTGTACCAACATGAGAAAAGGAATCCTCTCAGCTTCCCTCTCAACACCTACAAACTCTTTACCGCTCTCTCTCCTCTTTCTCAGTGAAAGAGGCATTCCTCTGGATACCACCACCCCTATAGATACCTCTTAATAACTTTTCTATTTCATCCTTCTTTCCTATTTGGTATCTTTACTAGTTATTTCCTGATTTTAAAATGTTCTTCCACCATTTCTAGTAATAAATTATTTTGTCTTAATATATAATCACTGGAAACTCTCAAAACGAAACCAAAACCACAAAAGAAATACAAACAGATGGCATTAAACTCCTTTTCTTCACCCTCTCAAAGCCATCCTTCAGCCAGAATCCCTCAGCAGCTTTGGTTGTCTCCTCTTCCCTTCCCAGCCAGACTTGCTGAAAGCTGTAGCCTGCAGGAACTCCACTTCCTCCGTTACTCTCCGTCATCTCCCGGAAACTGTTCTTGCTGAGGGCACCTGAGACCCCACGATGTAGTCTGGATGTTTGTCCCATCTAAATCTCATGTTGAAATGTAATCTCCAGCGTTGGAGGTAGGGCCTGATGGGAGGTGACTGGATCGTGGGAGTAGATTTCTCATGGTTTAGCCCCATCCCCTTGGTGCTGTCTTCACTGTGGTGAGTTCTCACGTGATCTGGCTGTTTAAAGGTGTGAGGCATCTTCCCCTTGCTGTCTGGCTTCCTCTCTCACCACATAATCTACCTGCTCCAACTTTGCCTTCTGCCATGAACAAAAGCTCCCTGAGGCCTCCCCTGGAGCCCAGCAGGTGCCAGGGCCGAGCTTGTACATCCTGCAGAACCGTGAGTCAATTAAACCTCTTTTTTTTTTTTTTCAGTAAATTACTCAGTCTCAAGTATTCCTTTATAGCAAGGCAATAAGGGTCTAATACAACCCACAAATTATCAAATCCAAACAACACTATAGTCTTGTCTCTGTGACTTGTCACTGTGAGTTATTCCCACCTGCTCTTTATTCGTTGGATCTTGTGACTGCACCTGCCCACCTTTCTTTTACCTGTTCCTTCTTCACCTGGACCCACTGCCGGGATTTCTGTAATAGTCCTCTGTTGTTTGCATACTGCAGATCTCCTTGGGTGATAACTTTAGTTACTTCCTTCAGGCTGCTGGCTACCACATCTAAGTCTTTCTCAGAGTCCAGATGTATATGTTCTATTCCTTACTAGAAGCCTCTTCCCAGTCTGCTTGCACTGGCCTCTCCTTTTTCATCTCCTGCCCTGCCTGGCACTGGAGATCTTAGGAGTACCCTGTGTCCCCTTGGCTGGCTGCCTTTCTTTGCATCCATGGAGTCTAGGCTGAACACTCTCTGCACAGGTCCTAGACCTTCTTCACTGAAGGCCACATCCTTCTAGGGGTGGTCTGCTCAGGTGCCACTGCCTCTCATAGGCCTTCTCTGATACCCACCCCTCCACTTCCCAGGTCCCATCACATTCTGGTTGAGTGCCCCTTCCAGATATTTCTGGAGGACCAGGTACATATTGTCATATTGCATGTATATTACTTTTTGTATGTTTTCCTCACTAAATTGTGAGCCTCTTGAGGGCACTGACTGCATCTTTTATGTTTACATCGCTGGGTGACTAGTAAAATGATAAACTCTTAAAATGATAAAAAGAAGAGCTTGATTGCTTAACTCAGCAATCAAAAGCTTTCTGTTCTTATTTAAAGGAATTAAAGTACACTTCAAGTATAAACTATGCTTCAGAAAGCACCATTTTGAATATTTTAAAACTTCACTATTAGAATATAAAATTTTAAGTCTACTGTTTTGCTTTAACGGCAGTGGTATTCTAGTGGTCTGATGCACCCAAATTACCAGCAGCAAATAGTCCCCCCACTGAAAATGGTCTGGTCCATTGTCTCATTAATCTTCAAGACATTCTCGTGAGGTAGTTTAGGAAACAAATGGTATTATCTTCTCAAACAGCTGTTTCACACATATGTTGTGTTTTGACATTGTATAGTTTTAGCATCATTTTCTCATTATTTAAATAGAAAATGAAATAAGAAATGTTTAGCTGTTTAATCCTATTTCTGAGAAACACTGTTGAATATTTAGAAGTAAAAGATTTGACCTTGACAGTAAAGGTTATTTTGGGCCGTAAGTGTTTTATGGTCATACTCCCCTTTCAGTGGGTATGTGTGGTATCAGTGAGGGCTGTGTGTAACTAACTGGAAGGTAATGAGGAGGTATGGTCTGTAAGGTTTTGATGTTACTAATACAACCAGAAGTAACTCACTTTTTGGTAGAGTCAGAGTTATACTACAGTTTTTTTTCTTTCTTTTAGTAATCGAGGGTTCATATACATACACGAAAATGCACAGATCTGAAGCATTTATTTTGGGTGGACTTTGACATATGTATAATCTTTTGTAACTTGCCCCTGCATCAAGGTACAAGCTTCTTCCATCACCCTAGTAAGTTCTATCCTGCCCCTTTCTACTCAGACATTGTTCTGGTTTTTATGACCACAGCTTAGTTTTGTCTGTTCTGGAACTTCATATAAAAGGATGTGTTCGGTTTTGAGAATAATTCTTTCAACATGTTTTGCAGTTTGCACCTGTAGTTCCACCTACTCGGAGGCAGTTTGAACCTGTGGTCCCATCTACTTGGGAGGCTGAGGTGGGTAGATCTCTGAAGCCTGGGAGTTCGAGGCTGCAGTGCGCTATGATCACAACACTGCACTCCAGCCTGGTTGACAGAGTGAGACCGTGTTTCAAACACAAACAAACAAAAAGTACTGGTGTATAGGAGAAAAGTAGAAAATGTAGATAAATAGAAAGAAGATTGGGAGGCCGAAGTGGGCGGAACATGAGGTCAGGAGTTTGAGACCAGCCTGGCCAACATGGTGAAACCCCCTCTCTACTAAAAATACAAAAATTAGCTGGACGTGGTGTTGTGCGCCTGTAGTCCCAGCTGCTCGGGAGGGTGAGGCAGGAGAATCATTTGAGCCTGGGAGGCGGAGGTTGCAGTGAGCTGAGATCTTGCTCCAGCCTGTGTAACAGACTGAGACTCCGTCTCAAAAAAGAAAAATTGTCTATGTTCATACAACCCAGTAACTAAGTATTCTAAATATTTTGATGTGTATCCTTCCAGCCTTTTTATATTGATACACACATGCACATACATACAGTTTTAAAAACTTACTTTGTTTTTATTTTTTTGAGGTAGAAATGGCATCTCTCTGTGTTGCCCAGGCTGGTCTCAAACTGGACCACAAGCAATTCCCCTGCCTCACATACAGTTTTAAATGTATTTTACCTCTCAAATGGGGTTATATTGTACATACTGTTGTATAAACTTTTTCATTGAATGTATAATTTTCATCAAAAATTTTTTTTGCACCATCATATC